TCTTACATTTACGTTTTCTGGCCTAAAATTTTCTTGAGGGAACTAATAAGATTGTCGTTGGTTATTATAATTGAACCTTGGAAAATAAAATTGTTGCATCTTTCTTTCTTATGCTCTCTCTTTATTTCATGAAGAGTCGGCAATGTTTGCTTTGGTGATGTTTGAAAAAGTGAAAGTACCAAACAGATTTAAGCAAGTGGGCGGAGCTGGAAAAGCTTATGTTCTTCCCTTAAATATGACAATGCCTCCAGGTTAATGAAATTGCTTCTGTTCCATGACTGGAGCCGGAATGTAACTGCTCCTGTCCATGACTGGAGCTAGGACTAAAGATGAAAATTCTTAGTCATTATAAGAATGAATTGAATATTGATTCTACTACGTTAGGCTTGGGATAACCATTGTATGGAAAGATATCAAATTTGTTTTGTACCTTTTAATTTGATGAGCATGAAGTTTATATATTTAATTTGTTCAGTTTTGTTTGTACATGTTTTTATCTCACCCAATATCATGTTGCAATTTTTCCAGTTGAGTGATAGCTGAAATATTGTTTTTCTAATTTGATACATACATACATATATATATATATATTCCATCTATTAGCTGTCAACATATTGATATTTTGATTGTTTTTCTGCTATTCTAATCTGTTTTTTGGATGAGGTTACAACCATATGTTGATATGCTGATATGCTGATGTCCAAATAAAATGTTAGTAGCTCTGGATTCACTCTGAACACTATCTTCTGATTAAAAAACATTTCATGTTCAGGATACCTTTGCTTCTGAAAGAAGGAAAGCTAAAATGCTTAACTTCTACATAAGTCTGCCTGTTCTCCTCACTTATTTATAAGTGGAGTTTGTTTAGCAACCAAAAGGCTAACGTATCTGGCCTTTCGGTTGCTGCTTCAGCAGTAGACATGGTTTATGTATTCTAGGCTAGGGAATGGAAGAGGAAGTGAGGCAAGTCTTAGTCTTTTGGTCAACCGTTTTAAGTCAGCATCCTCCGTGTTATAGGCATGCTATCATCAACCATGAATTTGTTATAGTCTTTTTTGTTTTGGAATTATTCTTTAAAAAAATACATCACCCGCTTTTCATGATTTTATTGTAAGAAAGTGAAAGTATATTAGGAATCAAAAGTTATTCCATATATGCCTATGATATAGCACATGGCGGATTGTTAGCTAGTGTGTCATCTTACGACCCCAAACCCTTTCTTCTTCGGCTTCGTTTCTTGCTTGAGGTGTGGAGGACCAAAGTGGCCGTTAGGCATCTCCGTGGAATGGAATCTCACTGTGTCGGTGATTCTACCAAAAGGCTAACGTATCTAGCCTTTCGGTTGCTGCTTCAGCAGTAGAAAAAAACTTATTTTCTCCTCTAAAGGTAGCTTGTGGGGTTTAAATAGAAAATCTCCTCTATGATTATAGAATGTTTTGGAGCATCTAAATGTAACACGAGACCATATCACATGGGATGAGCTGAATTTTATATAATGGATCAGAATATGGAAATATTAAGCTTATGTAAAATACATGACACTTAAATTGCTTCAAACAAAGTTTAAAGCCCCTCAGGAGCTGCAGACTTTCAATACACAATTTCAATCTCTCTTACACTGCATTCGCCATGAAGTTTAAGTAGCAACAAACCATTATTAGCATTGTAGACTATAAACTCTTCTTTCTTGTCCACCATACAAAACCTTGGTTTTTTGTTGGAGTAGGCTCCAAATCGACACATCCTCGGATTCGGACCTTCATGACACATTCCGAAAGTTCATTTTTGCAATGTAGAGATTCAATGGCTCCTCCTGAGTTGTACATATCAAGCAACCCAATTGGGGCTAATTGAATACAGGGACCAAACACCTGTTGTAATTCACCACTATTTTCAGTCCACTTTGTAAAAACTCAACACAAGAAGCTGAATAGAGAAAATGTAGTACAGTTGACTGACCCTAATAGGAGTTATGGTGAAAACTTCACATTCTAAAACACCCAAGGTGACTTCAAAATTTTCTTTCTTTGGCATCACAGAAAGTGAACCTGCAAGATGTTTATTGTATGTCATATAAGGATTGGATTATAAGAAAATGGTATGTGTAGCCACAAGTTTCATACCGAAACAAGGTGGCAGTGTGACCTGAATAGAATGCATATACTGCACTCTCCTCTCCAACTTTCATTTGTAACCTCTTCAAGCAAATCGACATCTAAGGGGCTGACAAGGCCGGAAAAAGGCAGTGGTGTCGATTCTGAGAGAGGCTCATTTGGAGCACCGGCGGTTGGTGGCCACTTTCCTGCTCTGTGGCAATTGAACACACCAATGACTCCTGAGAACTTGTTTAAATTCCAAATCTTCAATAGACTGCAGTGGACCAATGTAATAGATGGTGAAGATCGTGAGAGTGAGACGATAAATTAAAACTCTTAATGTAAAAGGAAAAAAAAAATTGTTATGGTTTGGTGTGACCATATTACCTCTTCCCATCTAGGACTGGATCACTGAATAAACAGTCCCGAGCAGGACGGCCAGCATATCTAGCCCTTAGAATAGAGCCATCAGGCAGTACAAGCTTTTTAAGAACATTGAAATTATGGCTGCCTGGCTTGTCACTGCACATGTTCTACGAAAATTAATATGTGAAAATTGCATCGATGAATTGGAGTCTTTCTAGTTAACTTGTGACTGACCTTACATATACTGGACATCCCCCCAATGCCCTTGCTGCAGCATGGAACTCAGCTGTGTAATGGTCACTCTGAAAATGCAGAAGAAAGACAATTAGGAATTAATTTAGGTGCTGAGCAATCTCTCCCATGAGAAGACTGTTAAAAGCTACAGCAGCAACATGTAGGGTCTGAAATGTTGGCTCCATTGGCATGAAATCCTCGGATACCCTACTAGCTGCACCTTGCTTTGAGCTGAAAGCAACACAACACAACACAACACAACTCATCTAATTAAAATTTAAAACTGATCAATTACTTTTTCCTTTTTTTTCTTTGTTGATGTCAAAGATTCAACAAATTAACCTGTAAATGTAGTCGTTGCTAAGGCTCATGCAGCAAATAAGGTTACTGCGATGGAAGTTTCTTATAACAGATTCCTCAAGGGCTTCTTGGTACCGCCTCATCAATGCGACACGGCCTCCATAACCAGAACCAAGAAGTTCCAGTACATTTTGCACATCCACCTTAACTCCATCTACATTGCAACTTGCAAGGTAGCAATGAAGATCGTCATAAAACCTATAAATATTTGAGGGGGCAATCATGCCAATCCCATATTTCTCCATGGGGTCAAGGGTTGTACAGATAAGTGGCTCACGTTTCCAGGGGACTGAACTATGTGTTTGATCCAGGGGTCGTATTTCCTCATTTCTTCAGATGTTGGAAGTACCCCTCCCCACGAACCAATTAAAGCGTGCCACGCATATACTAATCTACATTTTAACTCATAATCTTTGATTAATCATGTACATTTTTCACAAATGACTCAAAACAAATGTTAAAGCAAGGAGCGTACTTCAGTCCATATTCCTCTTTGATGAACTTTGCAAACTCACGGAGATTAGCATATGACTTTCCTGACCGGAAGCCCTTGAACTTATCATTTTCTTCTATGCTTGTCAATCTGTCCACAGACCTATAAATTTGGAGCAAATGAGATCATCTAACAATTCAACATGGTGCAGAACGTGATCAGAGTCAGCAAAGAGGTAGAATATGAATTATTTAAAGAAGTCTCACGTGGCATGATAAGGTGAATCAGTCTCATCAGCTTCAGCTTCAACTGCCATTACTCTGTTCTGCCATCCTTCATCAATGATAAGAAATTTTGGGGGGATGACTCCTTCTGAAAGACAAAAACATGATGATATGTTCTTAAGTTTTTTTTTTTTTTTCTATAACCAAGTTGAACAATCAAAGCTGTCTATTTCATTTGAAACTAATTCGCCTTTTAAGCCCCTTCTCAATTCCTTGAGGATCGACCTTATGATAAAATGCATCCCAGGTGCTCCATCCAAACCGTCCACATGTGCTGGTATCTGCCATTTCAAGCACAACAGATTTAGCAGGCTATCTGTTTTCCATAGTTTTTCATGAAATTGTATACATATATATTTCAACTACCTTCTTGTTTTCTACATGATTGAATGTACCTTTGTGCTTTGCCAGTATCCTGCATGAATGAAGTTGTTAAAAACATAAAATGAACCATCATTCTCAGTATCTGGCACATTATAATCACAAATCTCAAATCAATTAATTTTTTGAAAATTTACTGAATATACTTTATGGAATTCCTAATGAGCTTAAAAAGGTTGTCTCCTGAATTCATAAAAATTGATTCTGTTACTTGGGAGGTTTGGACATTGGGATCTCCCGAGGCACAAATAAACGAACCACAAAACTCAGAAATATTGAATAGAATCAAAAGGCAGAACAAATTAAAACCGCATTGATCAACATCCAAAATAAAGTTGCATAAATCGAACGAACCGCTTTCGATGCAAAATTCAAGCTCATTTACAGTGTTCCCTTGCAAACTAGCCCTGAATGGTCCATCCAAGACTGGTAATGACAGAATGTACAAACTGTTCTCGGTTGTTGGCTCAGATAGCCCATTTTGGACAGTGGATTTTTCTCTTGTTTCCAAGAGGAGCATTTGAGTTTCTGCTGGAACTTCACAGCCTGAATCTCTGAAACTCGGTATCATCCACCAGAGCTTGAATCTGAAGAGACACATAAACTTGTACCCCCTGCAATGCACACAAAATTATTCTTTAAAAAAACAGCAAATGTTTGACATATATATATAGTCAACAATACAAACTTTGTTACACATACTCAAGACCCCAAAAGAGAAGACATGACGAAAGCTAGAGTTTGAAGAAGAAGCTCCAATGAAAGCAGCCTCATCGGCAGCAGGTGCGACAGTTATGTTTCTTGGAACATGAGACAGAACAACATTGTCCCGGACCATGAGGCAGTCATCTTTGATGCTTGGGACAATCATCTTTGCTATAGTTGCTTCACAAACTTCAACTTTTCAATTATTTATCATAGATGATCTAGCAAGCTAGGGGGTTTTATACATCCGTATATGAAGAACATGAGCTCATATCAGATGACGTTGCAGCGCACTGAAACAAATACCAGAAAATTCTGAGACCGTCACACCGACCGAGTTTCATGGTGACTTGTCTCTTGCTAAATTAAGTGTGCACCTGTACATATATAGTCTAATTCTATTGAGGCATTTCTCAAATAATTTTATTTGAGGGACACATTTAGAGTCTCCTATGATTTTTTTTAAACAATTTAAACAATTTATATTTTAAGTTTACATTCATAGATCATTCTTGCAAAAAAAAAAAAAAAAGACAAATCGGAAACCGTTTCGATATCCAATTGTGTCTTACAAAATCAATGAACACCGTGTTTCAAGAAAGTACTAAAATTTTAATAATTCAATTAAGTAGTCAAATGATATCGAATTCAAGTGATTTTTTGTAGAGATGATTTTTAAATGACTATCTACAAAATAAATAATTTGAATTAGTGTAATACAATACGAAGTGGGCTGTATAATTTCAAGCAAATTAATGCTGTGAAACTGAACCAAATTTTGTTTCAAATTCTCTCATATGAGGTGGCCCAACTTGATGAAATTGTGGGTTGAGCTTACCTCAACCGGCCTACTATGGCCATGGCGGGTTTATATTTTTCTTGTTAGGGCCTAAATTGAACCACTAAGAGCAACTCCACCCATATTGCCCTTAGCCATGGTAAGGGGGGAGCTAGGGCAGCCACTATTCACGTGCATAGTGGATGCCCTTTCCAAATCAAAATTTTCTTCATCTACTCGTTACCGCTCTCGTCTGGAGTCACTTCTGGT